TAAACAAAAACAAAAAACCATAATAGTGTATAATACTAAACAGATTAAACAAAAACAAATATAACTATAACGATGCATAACACAATATAAAAGAAAAACTGCAGTAAAATTTACAGGTTTTCTTTTGCATTACTTAATTATTTCTCGGGATAATAGAATGCATAATATATAAATATATGTATGTATTTGTTAGGAAAATTTTTAAAATTTTCCAAAACAATGGACATGAATTGCCTTTAACTGAAACTTGTGTAAATATTTATACCATTGTTAAAATATAACAGTAATATCGAAAAAATTATTTTTTATTAAAGTAACCCGGCTAGCAGTATATACAAAGAAATTATGTATTTATAAAGAGTACGATCCCCAAAAAATTATTCCCCTACTCAACATCACAGAGTAACATTCACTGATAAAAAAATAAAAGTTGACATGTCGAATAGCATTATTCAAATGCCATTTAGTATGCTATTAAACTTATCACATGACATCACAGATATTTATATCCGCGAAATTATATTATAAGTTGAATAGCATGTCAAATAGCATTTGAATAATGCTATTCGACATGTCAAATTTTATTTTTTTATCAGTAAATTTGCCAACAAATATAATACTTGCAGCTAATCAAATATCAACTCTAACCCTATGTGATGTCGGGTAAGTGGCCTTTAAAGAATAACTAACATACAGGGAGTTGAGCAACAAAGAGTGTGATTGTACTTGAAATCAAGATACATAATTAATTTTAATCTCATTTTATATGAATTACGATTTATGGTGTTTTTAGATAGCTTACTCAATTAATTAGTTAGTGATCGTAATAGTTGACAAAATTTAATTAGACCTTTATTAAAGATCAATAGAACAAATAATAATGTAATTGCCATATTCTCGCATATTTTACTCAATGCAATTAACTTGTAATTGTGTTTATGTTCAAGCGTTGCAATAATTGAAATGTTTATTTCGATAGTTGTGCAAGTCTTTTATTACTATCTTATCATTATTATTAAAAAATCATTGCTTTTACAAAGACGTAATATTAAAAAAAAAAATATTTATTACAGTATAAATTGCACTGTGATTTTTTTAATTAAACATACCCACTCAATATAAAAAATAGCCGGCAGGAATAAGCGAGAAGACATAACAATTAAATAATAAAATTTAAATATATCAATTAAATAAAAAGTTAAATCTAACTCAACATACCAAATAACTCAACTGGAATAGGCAGGTAGACCTTAATTCAATACACCAAGTAACTGGGCTAGAATAATTAAAGTCAAACCTAAATCAACATACCAAGTTACCCACTCGGTAAAACACGTAAAAACACTATAGAAAAAAAGACCCGACTGAATAACTCGACCAGAATGTAATTCGATTATTATAAGTATGATTTAGTAAACATGACTAGAATTATCAAAGTCGAACCTAAATCAACATACCAAGTTACCCACCCGGTGGAATATATAAAAACACCATAGAAAGAAAGACCCGACTGAATAACTTGACCAGAATATAATTCAATTATCATAAGTATGATTCAGTAAATACGACTAGAATTATCAAAGTCGAATCTAAATCAATATACTAAGTTACCCACCCAGTAAAACACATAAAAACACCACAGTAAAAAAAAGACCCAACTAAATAACTCGACTAGAATGTAATTCGATTATCATAAGTATGATTCAATAACACAACTAGAATTATCAAAGTCTAACCTAAATCAACATACCAAGTTAGCCACCTGGTGGAATACGTAAAAACACCATAGAAAGAAAGACCCGACTGAATAACTCAACCGGAATGTAATTCGATTATCATCAGTAAAAACAACTAGAATTATCAAAGTCTAATCTAAATCAACATACCAAGTTAGCCACCCGGTGGAATATGTAAAAACACCACAGCAAAAAAAGACCTGACTAAATAACTCGACTGGAATGTAATTCAATTATTATAAGTATAATTCAGTAAAAACAACTAGAATTATCAAAGTCGAACCTAAATTAACATACCAAGTTACCCACCTGGTAAAACATGTAAAAACACCATAGAAAGAAAGACCTGACTGAATAACTCGACTGGAATGTAATTTAATTATTATAAGTATGATTCAGTAAACACAACTAGAATTATTAAAGTCGAACCTAAATCAACATACCAAGTTAGCCACCTGGTGGAATACGTAAAAACACTACAGCAAAAAAAAGACCCGACAGAATAACTCGACTGGAAAGTAATTCGATTATCATAAGTATAATTCAGTAAAAACAGCTAGAATTATCAAAGTCGAACCTAAATCAACATACCAAGTTAGCCACCCGGTGGAACACGTAAAAACACCATAGAAAAAAAGACCCAACTGGAATAACTCGACCGGAATGTAATTCGATTATTATAAGTATGATTCAGTAAAAACAACTAGAATTATCAAAGTCAAACCTAAATAAACATACCAAGTTACCCACCTAGTAAAACATGTAAAAACACCATAGAAAGAAAGATCCGAATGAATAACTCGACAGGAATGTAATTCAATTATCATAAGTATGATTCAGCAAACACGATTAGAATAATCAAAGTCGAACCTAAATCAACATACGAAGTTAGCCACCTAGTAGAATACGTAAAAACACCATAGAAAGAAAAACCCAACTGAATAACTCAACCAGAATGTAATTCAATTATTATAAGTATGATTCAGTAATAACAACTAGAATTATTAAAGTCAAACCTAAATCAACATACCAAGTTAGCCACCTGGTGGAATACGTAAAAACACCATAGCAAAAAAAGACCCGACTGAATAACTTGATTAGAATATAATTCAATTAACATAAGTATGATTCAGTAAACATGACTAGAATTATCAAAGTCGAACCTAAATCAACATACCAAGTTACCCACCTGGTAAAACACGTAAAAACACCACAGCAAAGAAAGACCCGACAGGAATAACTCGACTGGAATGTAATTCAATTATCATAAGTAAGATTCAGCAAACACAACCAGAATAATCAAAGTCGAACCTAAATCAACACACCAAGTTACCCACCCGGTAAAACACGTAAAAACACTATAAAAAGAAAGACCCGACTGAATAAATCAACCAGAATGTAATTCGATTATTGTAAGTATGATTTAGTAAAAACAACTAGAATTATCAAAGTTGAACCTAAATCAACATACCAAGTTAGCTATCCGGTAAAACACGTAAAAACACCATAGAAAGAAAGACCCGACTGAATAACTCGACTGGAATGTAATTCGATTATCATAAGTATAATTCAGTAAAAACAACTAGAATTATCAAAGTCTAACCTAAATTAACATACTAAGTTAGCCACCTGGTGGAATACGTAAAAACACTACAGCAAAAAAAGACCCGACTGAATAACTCAACTGGAATACTGGATTGGACCTAATTCAAATATTCATGCAATTTGATTATAATAAGGATATTGATGATTCAGCAAACACGACTAGAATAAGCAAAGCTGAACATACTAAGTGATCTGGCTGGAATAATCACATTGAACTTATCCAGGTCATTTTGGTACGTCGAATTAGGATAATCAAATCGAACCTAATTCAACATACCAAAATAATCCGGATAAAATAAGCAAACTTGACTGGAATAACCAAATTGAACTTAATTCAACATGCCAAGTGACACATCTTGCATAATCAAATTGAACTGTACCAAAAGCTTGTTTTATACAAGAAAATTGAAGTAGAAATTCAATCTTACAAATCAAGCCTCCTTATTTATTTACTTTCTTACATCATTGGTCTATTAAAATAGACTTATCACAATTATACACCCTTATCCCTTATCGTTATTTCGTTCTATTAATTATCCACCCCTGTGCAACTTTGGTGTTAAGTAACATGTGGAACCAATTAAATCCCAACACTAGAATAAGCAAGTTGAATCTACCAAAACAACCTGGCTGGAATAATCAAATTGAACCCAATTCAACATTCCAAAGTAACCCGATTGAATAAATCTACAAATTGACCTGGCTGAAATAATAGCACGGCTAGAAAAGTTGAACCTAATAAATTAAAATTGTAATTAAAAATTAAAATTGATTACTTAAAAAAATTAAAATCGATTTAAAAAAAATTAAAATTGATCATTAAAAAAAAATCAAAAAATAAATATTGATTTTAAAAAACCCCGAATTAAATTAATAATAAGTAAGGAACCTAACATATAAAGACTTTCTTGCTTTGCATAATCTTCAACACAGCCAGTTAAAACAAATAAATCGACATACTAACTAGAATAACCTAATTCAACTTACCAAAAAACCGGTTAAAACAATCAAACCCCCTGCTAGAATAGCATATTAAACCTAATTTAACATACTAAAGCAACTGGCTAAAGAAATCTATTTAAAATTACTAAAGTAGCCCGGTAAGAATAAATTGAAACACCAGTGATCTGGTTGAAATAAGTTATTTCAATCTTCTGATCCAAGAACGTTACTATCGAGATTTAACGTTGCTAAAAAGGTTTCCTTCTTCTGATTTAAGAACGTTACTACCGAGATTTATCGGATCCAAGACTATTATTGAGATCTAACGTCGTTAAGAAGTTTTTGCAAAGTGCATTAGCTAATGCTTTTTCTCCTTCGGATCCAAGATTAATACCACTAAGATTCAAATCTTTCAGTGTAGTATTCTTACAAAGTGCCTTTGTTAGTTCGTTTATATGGCTATAATATAAATTCTAGACTTAGCTAAAATAAGCGAGTTGAATCTAATTCAACATGCCGAAGTAGCCTGTCTAAAATAAGGATTAAAGTGAAGAAGTTAACCTTATCGTTATTGTTATTTGTGCTTAAAAAAAAAAATTTTTTTTGATAATCCCCGGATTGGCCGGATTTGATCCGAATCCGGGGATTGGATCAATTTCGGTTCAATCCCGAATCAATCCATGATTTTTGATCCGGTTCAGAACACTACTGTATACCATGTCTAGGACAACGTCCTCAAGTAAAATGGCAAAAATCAACAGGAATTAGCACAATTAAAACACATTTTAGAAAATATCATACAGATATTTATAATCAAATAGAGTTAGAGTTTAAAAAAACCAAAACAGTTCAACCTTACAGGATAGATAATGAAGCAAAAGTTAAACATATTACTTATCTACTTATAAAGTGGATTATTTGTAATCAACAGCCCTTTATAGTCGTTGAAGATCCTAGTTTTGTCAAACTTATTGAAGAACTTGAAGAACTATATCGATTACTATCTCGACAAACTATATCTAATCAGATCGAGACAATTTATCAAAATCAAAAATTGTTATTAAAAATTTTTTAAAAACAATAAGAAAATTAGCCATTACAACTGATTCATGGACGGCTTACAATAATATCCATAACACTCATTGAATTGATGATAATTGGAATGCACAAAAATTGCTTCTCGATTTTGTCCCTGTTAAAGATGATTATACAGAATTAAATATTTCAAATGCTATCTTAGAAATTATTAGTTTTTACGAAATTGGAGAAAAAATAATTGCTGCAACAACTGATAATGCAGCAAATATGATTACTTTCGCTTCTCACTTATGACGAAGCCTCAATGAAAAATTTAATAATACTAATTTTCAACATTATCGTTGTGCCACCCACACTTTAAACTTAATTGTCGTGGAAAGATTAAAACTCGTTGATTCTTCTATTATAAAAGCAAGATCATTTGCGTCTACTATACGCAATTCACAACCAATTTTTAGAGAATTGAAAGAGATATTTAAAATGAAAAATAGGAAGTTTCTTGTACCTGATTTAGATATTCCAACTCGTTGGAATAGCACATTTCTAATGATTGAAAAATTAAGAAGAATTAAAGAAATGACTGGTATTCTTGTTGCATCAAATAATTTGTTAAAACCAAATTACCCAACTGAATCAGAATGGTTAAAAATCGAAGAAATCTATAATCTTCTTAACCCCATTTACCAAGCAACTTTAATGCTTTCATCATCAAGTCATCCAACCTTAGGGGATCTTCATTTAATATTCACAACAATTAATAGATTTTTTGATGAAATTATCTATAATACAATTGAAGAAACTACAACAAAGCTTGTCACAACGGCTATGGCAATTAAATTTGATGAATATTGGCAAAAATTGGATCAATCATCCTTTATGATTGCTCCACTCGATCCAAATATTAAGCTTTCATTATATGATACAGAAAAACAACATAAGGCTCAAGAATATATGGAAAACCTTTATTCAAAATATAAT